GCCGGGACGGCGCCAGCCTGCTCGTGCGCGGCTGCGACGAGTGAGTGCCCGCGCTGCCCGTGTCCCCAACGCGCTCTGTCCTCACTAACAACCTCTCTCGGTTCCATAGCGCCGCCTTCAAGAGCCACGGCTACTGCCTGTCCCAGGCCCTGCGTTTCGCCGTGGAGGAGATCAACAACTCCAGCACGCTGCTCCCCAATGTCACCCTGGGCTACGAAATCTATGACACCTGCTCTGAGCCTACCAACTTCCATGCTACACTGTGTGCCCTCGCTCGTAAAGGCAGGCATGATGTCCAGGTGCTCCCCAGTTTTCAACACTATGAACCCCAGGCTGTGGCTGTCATTGGCCCTGACAGCACCCGGCTGGCCCTCACCACAGCCGCTGTTCTCAGCCTCTTTCTTGTACCGGAGGTAAGTGCAATTCCTATGGCTGATGAAAAACGGGGATCCCAAGGAACGACGGTTTCAGGGAGGGTGGTCTCAGAGCTGAGGAGCCTGGTAATGCTGGAAATGCAGCCCCTCTGTGTGTGCTGTCCCAGGATCCTTCCCAGGCAGTCAGTGGGCTGGCTTGCCATCTATCACAGTTTCCTCCTGCTTCAGCACACTTGGCACTGGGTCTGCTGCTTGTCTAGCTCCAAGCCTTCCTAGGACAGGCTGCCTGTGCCATTGGCTCTCAGAGGTGCAGCTGCCTGGGCCAGCGCATCCCCCTTTCCCCTGGCTCCCTTTGCAGATCAGCTACGAAGCCTCCACGGAGTTGCTGAGCCTGAAGCGGCTGTACCCCTCTTTCCTGCGCACCATCCCCAGCGACAGGAAGCAGGTGAAGGCCATCTTCCAGCTGCTGCAGCACTTTGGCTGGACCTGGGTGGTGCTGCTGGGCAGTGACAACACCTATGGCAGTGCTGGCCTGGATGCCCTGCAGGAGCTGCTGACCGCAAGCAATGTGTGCGTGGCCTACCGAGGCACCATCCCCGCCAGCTTGGATGCCAGTAACCCCCAGCTTCACAACCTGGTCCGAATCATCACAGAAGTCAAGGTCAATGTCACTGTTGTGTTCTCCAGCAGAGAAAGTGTTCTGCCGTTCTTTGAGGTGGTGGTCCAGAAGAACATCACGGGCATGGTGTGGGTGGCCTCCGAAGATTGGTTGTTGGCTCAAACTATCTGGCAGGTGCCTGGCATCCAGACCATTGGGTCAGTGTTAGGGATGGCAGTTGAGAAGCCAGAGTCCACGGTGCTGGAACGCTTTGAAGCTTGGAAGGTATCAGAGGAAGGTGCTGTGGCTGAGTGTGCAGGTAGGGAATCTGTGGGGAACGCGAGGCTGAACTGCACGCAGTGCTGCACCGGCTGCCGTGCACTCGCCACTGTCCCTGACATGTACGACGCTCAAAGCTCCTTCAACGTGTACTCGGCCGTGTATGCCGTGGCCCATGGCCTCCATGACCTGCTGGGCTGTGACTCGGGGGCCTGCAGCAAAGGCACTGTCTATCCCTGGCAGGTAAGAGCAGCCTTGAGGAAGATCCGTGAGGATCCCTTCCCACAGGGAAGGATTTTTCTGTTGTTCCCTAAGGTTTCCTGTCTTTCCCAAAGACCCTTGTGGGCTTCAGCTGCCCCTCACAGTCATAGCAGCCAAGACCTAGACCTAGACTCCATCCTAGGTCACTTGTTCCTCTACCACCAGCCCCTTACTGCATGGGATTTTCTGCAGATGTTGGGGGGCCAGAAAGCAGCTGCAGGACAGAGGAAGTGTCCTCCAGCACATTTCCCTCCCAATGGCAGGAATCGCACCATTCGAAGGGCTCCTTTCTTACTCTTCTGTTTTACAGCTCCTTCAAAAGATTAGACAAGTAAACTTCACCCTGTACAAGAGCCGAATCTCTTTTGATGCCAACGGGGACATTCATAAAGGCTATGACATTATCATGTGGAAGTGGAGGGGCCCAAACTGGGCTTCTCATGTCATAGGAACCTTCCGTGTGAACCCTGACAGGCTGAGCATCAACCCCAGCAAAGTCCTGTGGCACACAGAAGATGGCCAGGTACTGTTCTGCACCCAGGTCTTACTTATTGCTCACTTCTGAGCTGACTGCATCCCAATGCCACCAATTCTGGGGTGTTTCCTCATAGCAGGGCTAAACTGAGGACAGAGGCAGTGGGGGGGAGATGGTGCCAGAGTGCTGCTGAGCTGGAACTGTGCTGCTGCCTGCCAGCCTGACCCTGTCTGTGCTCCCAGCAGGCTCCCAGCTCAGTGTGCTCTGAGGCCTGTGAGCCAGGGGAGATGCGGCTGCAGCACAGCCGCCACAAATGCTGCTTCAGCTGTGTGGCCTGTCCACCAGGAACCTTCCTGAACACATCAGGTCAGTATACCCTAGGGTCTGCTCCTGCCCCTTCCTCCCCTGCCAACATCCTACCTCCTGCTACTGTCTCACCATTCCCAGCCTCTCATCTCCTGTGGTCAGTAAAACCTGTGAGCTGACCTGAAGGCAGTGGGTCTGGCTCCTGTTTGCTTACCAGTGAGTATGCAAAGCCCATGCCCTGTGCTTTCCGGGGAGTACTGCCCACAGGTGAGCCCACCTGGGCAAAGAGAGCCTCTTTGCCTGCGGCCAGGGAAGGAGAATGTCCGGCCTGGTAGCTGCTCCCTGCACCGCATCCTCTGCCAGGGAAATTCAACCTAGTGGTTGCCTTTGTGCCACAGGTGGCACACGGGGCTTCCGCACTATGTGGTCACCAGCACCTGGCATATGGAAATGACTCCTGCCTGGGACAGTCCGCAGTAGTCTCCTGCCTCAGAATCACCAGCCACAATGACAAACCCCTGCCTGGAACTTAGTCCCATAACATCCTTAGCCTGTGGAGTGGACAGGGGCAGCTCTGGGGAACAGTGGGAGCAGAAAGCCCCTCTACATGGTACTGTCCCATTCAACAGCAGCTGCTGCAGATCCTTCCCAGGTTACTGCTTGATGCACAGGCCCCTTCCCACCCACTGTCCCCATGGCCCTCAGCCTCAAAGCAGCTGAACCCCTGTCTCAGCCCAGGCCATGGATTTTGGCAGAGTCCACAGGGCGAATTTTCTTTTGGGAAAAGAGCCCCCTTTTCTACCCCGGGCCTGGGAGTGCCTGCAGGAAGGAGCAGGCACGATGGGTGAGCAGAGCCCAGAGGCTCTGGGGTAGGAGCCAGGCCCTGCAGCACGGCGGAGCTCTTACCATGTCCGAGGTGTGTGAGGTGTCCCACGTCCTTCACAGACCCCTTTGACTGCCAGGCCTGTGGCTTGGGCGAGTGGGCCCCAGAAAAGAGCGAGATCTGCTTCAACCGCACCATCGAGTTCCTGTCCTGGTCCGAGCCCCTCTCCTGGGTGCTGCTGTCCTTGGCTGTTCTCCTCATGCTGCTGATAGCGGCGCTGACCATCCTGTTCGCCCTGAACGCCTCCACACCCGTGGTCAAGTCTGCGGGTGGGAAGGCGTGTTTCCTCATGCTGGGCTCCCTGGCCTGCACCTGCAGCAGCCTCTTCTGCTACTTGGGGGAGCCCTCGCAGGTGGCATGCCTGTTGCGGGTGCCGCTCTTCGCAATCAGCTTCACCGTGTTCCTTTCGTGCGTGGCGACCCGCTCCTTCCAGATCCTCTGCATCTTCAAGCTGAACGCGCGCTGCCCTGCGCTCTACGAGGCCTGGATGCGGCGCCAGGGGCCGGTGCTGTTCGTGGCCGCCAGCACGGCGGCACAAGTGGCGCTGTGCGTGGTCACCGAGGCCGTCAGCCCCTCGGTGCCGCACCGGGAGTACGGCGTGCGGGACGAATGGGTGGTGCTGGAGTGCGCCCGGAGCTCCGCGGCCGACGCCGCCA